TTTTTAAACATTTTGTAACAGCTGTGTATGAGGTTCACACATAGAAAAAAACCATTCCACACTCACCAGCTTTCTCCACCTCTTAGGTAATGTGTGCTCAAAGTGGTCTGTTTGAAAATTATTCCCCTTGTGACATCATAAGGGGAAATAGGCAGTCTGTAGCAGCCCGTTGGTCAAGCTCCGGCCTTTTCATTATGTATATTATTATTCTGTATTATTCTGTACTCCTAGGAGATCTTTAAGAACTCTGACATGTAATGGTTTATGGTTGTGCTGTCCACAAAGGGCAATAACTCTGGGGCCTCCTTGTTAATATTTTAATGTTTAGTTTTTAAATATTTATTTGAGTTCAGACTTAAAACTTAGATTTTAAATTAATATTTAATTAGAAGCTAAATATTTAGTTTGAAAACTAAATGCTTTGTAAACCAAATATTTAGTTTGCTTTCTAAATATTTAATTTAGTGCAAAATATTTAGCTTTCTAAATCAATATTAATTAACAAGTTCAAATATTTAGTTTGTAAACTGCACATTTAACTTGATAAATGTTTGGTTTGGAAATGTGATATCTAAAGATGTAAGAACGATTTAAAAATATAACGACAGAAAAAAAAATGAACCCGCATTTTTTTCTCTTATTTCAGAATAAATAACTATAAGTTTAATCGGCCCATAGGAAGGAGCTGAGTGTACTATCACTGTTTGCTGTTCACGAGGATGATAAGGCAGCCAGCGGCTCGCGCCCCAACCGATCCGGTGCGCGCTTCCGGGAGCGCGCGCAGAGCAGTTCGCCGTGCAGATGTGTCGCAGATTTTTGTAAAGTCACCAGATTGGAGCGAAGGACCCTCCTGTTGTGGATAAACCTGTTCAAACCGAAGCAGGACGGAGGCACGCGCCGTTACCGTTAGCTTAGAGCGGAGCGCGCAGAGATGGAGCTCTCTGCCATCGGAGAGCAAGTGTTCGCCGTGGAATCGATCCTAAAGAAAAGACTCAGAAAGGTAAGAGTTGAGAAGGGGGGCAGACATCGATGCTGAGGTGTTAACTTTAGCAGAGGGATGATGTCAGCGTGTTTGGGGACGTCATGGTGTTAGAAAGGAGGAAGCTGAAGGGTCAGGCTGAGTTAACTCTGTTAGACTGAGAGAAGCGGGTTCCTGCTGTCACTGCGCAGCATCTCATGGCCTTCAGCCGCGGAGGAAACACCATCAGCTGTAGTGAATGATGGGCCTGTCTGCCTGCTCATTAGTTCTAGCTTCAATGCCATGTTATGTTGACATTAACAGGTGCGTACCTACAACTTAAGGGTCCTCATTCCCCCCATGAGGCACCTGAGATCCTCCTGCTCATTTCTACTTTATTTCCCAGCTATGTAGGGGATACACACGTGGTCCAGATTTAAATGTTGTAAAATTAAACTTTTATCTGGTACTTTAAAATCATCACCTAACTTTCCTATAAAGCACCTCTTTAGAACGGCTGGTTACAATTAACAAGTTACAGTGTGCAGGAGGTTTACATGTTATATGTAATCAAGTGGGAATGCTTATGCATTCCCACTTATTGTTTTTCTGTTTCTCTTTATTATTATTATTATTTCCATTTACAATATGTACTCTTTGCTTGCAACAATAATGGAAAGTATTCACTCCATAAAAGTCCACCTGAGCAAAAT